TCATGTAGTAGATGTTTCGCTTTAAAACAAAACCTGCTCGCTTTCTAACAATGTGGCATTCATGCTGTACGACAAGGTCCCACCCCTGCTCACACTTCCTTGCATTCCTACCTACTCTTTTTTGGGGGTTGGGTTTGGGGTTTCGAGATAGGTTTTCTCTCCGTATCTCTGGTTGTCCTGAAACTAGCTCTGTAGACCAGGCTGGCCTCTAACCCAGAGACCAGCTGCCTCTGCCTCTGCAGGTGCCAGGACTACAGGCACCTCCTCCTCAAAGTGCTCAGCTTCCCCCCCCCCCCCCCCGGGTTCTTACTAGCATCTGGCTACTGTCTTTACTCGTAACCAGCTGAGCTACTATATGGTAGGATTTCACTATGGTTGAATCTGTACTTCCCTAAAGTCCACTGACACTGCACATCTTTTCACATGTTCATTTGCTATTCACTGATGATCTTTGCTGAAGTGTCTGTTCAATATATTTTATGAGCCACCATGTGGTTGCTAGGATTGAATTCAGGACCTTTGGAAGAGCAGCAAGTGAACTTAACCTCTAAGCCATCTCTCCAGCTCAATATATTTTATAATGGGATTGGTTGTTTTCTTCAGTTTTTATATATTTTCTGTATCAGACCTTTATCAGATATATGATTTAAGAATTTTTCCCAATCAGTGCCTTGCCATTTTGATTTTTTAATGCTTTGAAGAATAGACATATTTAATCTGGAAACCATCTCATTTATAAATTCTCTTACTGACTGTTCTGCTTAAGAGATTTTAGCTGATTTTTTGTTGAACATTTGCCCCTCTCCGTCCCTAGAGATCAACAGCACAGGCTCTAAGATCAACAATCAATAAATGGGACCTCATGAAACTAAAAAGCTTCTGTAAAGCAAAGGACACTGTTGTCAGAACAAAACGACAGCCTACAGACTGGGCAAGGATCTTCACCAACCCTATATCTGACAGAGGGCTAATATCCAGAATTTATAAAGTACTAAAGAAATTAAAAAGCAACAAATCAAGCAATCCAATTAAAAATGGGGTACGGAGCTAAACAGAGAATTCTCTGTAGAGGAATACAGAATGGCAGAGAAACACTTAAAGAAATGCTCAACGTCCTTAGCCATCAGGGAGATGCAAATCAAAATGACCCTCAGATTTCACCTTACATCCATCAGAATGACTAAGATCAAAATCTCAAGTGACAACATATTCTGGAAAGGATGTGGAGAAAGGAGAACCCTCCTCCATTGCTAGTGGGAATGTAAACTTGTATAACTACTCTGGAAACCAATCTGGTGCTTTCTCAGACAATTAGGAATAGTGCTTCCTCAAGATCCAGCTATACCACTCCTAGGCATATATCCAAAATATGCTCAAGTACACAACAAGGACATTTGTTCAACCATGTTTGTAGCAGCTTTATTCATAATAGCCAGAGCCTGGAAGTAACCCAGATGTCCATCAACAGAGGAATGGATACAGAAATTGTGGTACTTTTACACAATGGAATACTACTCAGCAATTAAAAACAAGGAAATCATGAAATTTGCAGGCAAATGGTGGGATCTAGAAATGATCATCCTGAGTGAGGTAGCACAGAAGCAGAAAGGCACACAGTATATACTCACTTGTAAGTGGATACTAGACCTATAAGATAGGATAAACATACTAAAATCTGTACACCTAAAGAAGCTAAGCAAGAAGGAGGTTCTGGGATAAGTTGATCAATCCTCACTTAGAAAGACAAATGGGATGTACATTGGAAGTAGGAAAAAAGAAGAAACAGGACAGGAGCCTACCAGAGGGCCTCTGAAAGACCCTACCTAGCAGTGTATCAAAGCAGATGTTGAGATTCATAACCAAACCTTGGGCAGAGTGCAGGAAATCATATGAAAGAAGGGGGAGTTAGTAAGACCTGGAGAGGACGGGAGTACCACAAGGACCAAATATATCTGGGCACAGGGGTCTTCTCTAAGACTGATTCTCCAACCAAGGACCATGCATGGATATAACCTAGAACCCCTGCTCAGCCCATGGTAGCTCAGCATCCAAGTGGGTTTCCCTAAGAAGGGGAACAGGGACTGTCTCTGACATGAATTCAGTAGCAGGCTCTTTGACCCCCCACCCCCCCAAGGGAGGAGCCACCTTGCTAGGCCACAGAGGAGGACATTGCAGCCAGTCCTGATGAGACCTGAGAAACTAAGGTCAGATGGAAGGGGAGGAGGACCTCACCTATCAGTGGACTTAGGGGCAGGGAGGAGATGAGGGAGGGAGGGAGGAAGGAAGGGTGGGATTGGGAGGGAACGAGAGAGGGTGCTAAAGCTGGGATACAAAGTAAATAACCTGTAATTAATATAAAAAAATAAAAATTAAAAGAAGAGATTTTAGCTGACACACGTGGTATGTATTCTCTTATAAGTGGATTTTAGCCATATAGTACAGGATAAACATACTACAAGGCACAGACCCAATGAAGACGAGTAACAAGGAAGATCCGAGGGGGGACGCACAAATCTCACTTGGAAGAGGAAATAGAACACACGGAGAGAGTGGCTGAAGGGAGGAACAACGTAGGAGAGGGGATATGAGGTTGGAGACCAGGGGAGAGCAGGGTCAAAAGGATAGAAGACCTGTAGAAAAAAGAGAAACAGAGTGGGGGCATTTCTGTGACAAGCTGGAGACCCAAGTCAGGGTAGGCTCCTGGGAAAGTCTGAGGGAGACTCAAGTAGAGACTCCTAGTAGCAGAGTCCATAGAGACTGAAGAGGACACCCTCTAACTACACTAGTCTCCTAGCAGAGGTGGTGGTGGGGAAGCGCCAACCAACCCACAAAAACTTTGATGTAAAATTTACCCTGCCTACAAGATGCTCAGGGATAAAAATAGGGCAGATAGAGAAGAGATTGAGGGAATATCCAACCAATGCCTGGCCCAACCAAAGACCTGCCCTATCAGAGAGTGCCAGCCTTTGACACTATAAGTGATTCTCTGTTTAGCTTGCACACAGGAGCCTGATAGAGTTGTCATCTGAGAAGCTCTACCCAGCACCACCTCAAAACAGATGCTGAGACTCACAGCCAAACACTGAGTGATGTGTAGGGAGTCTTGTGGAAAAGTGGGAGGAAAATAAAGAACCTGGAGATGACAGGAGCTCCACATGAAGACCAACAGAGCCAACTAACCAGGGCCCAGAGGGGCTTGCTAAGGCTGAAGCATCAACCAAGGACCATGCATGGACTGGACTTAAACCCTTCTACAAAATATAGCTACTGGGTAGCTAAGGGTTCATATGGGTTCTCAAGTAAGGAAAGCAGGACTGCATCTGACACAGACTTTCCTGCCAGCTTTTTGATCATTTCTCTCTGGCGGACTGCCTTGCCAGGCCACAGGGGAAGATGACACTCTCAGTCCTGATGTGACTTGGGGTGGACGGGAAGGGTACTCTCCTTTTCTGAGGATTCGGAGAGGGGGGAGGAAAGGAGAGTGGGACTGGGACATGAGGTAGCATGGGGCTACAACCAGGATATAAAGTGAATAAAAAAATAAATTAAAAAAGAAAAAAATTGCTTATACAAGGTCACAACAAATTTTAGAAAATTAATTTTGTAAAGAGAGATATAAGTGCCACAGGACACAGGTCAGAGGTAACTTTAAGGAGTTCTCTTCCATCTTTATGTGGGTTTTGGGGATTAAACTCAGGTTCCTAGGCTTGAACAGCAAGCATCTTTATCTGTTGAGATATCTCCCAGTCCTACAGATTTAAAAAAATGTTTTACAGTTACAACTTTCACATTTAGGCCTACTATTTCTTTTGAATGCACTTTTTCCTATATAGTAGTAAGCATTTATCGAAAAGCATGTTTCCCCATCTGAGCAGCAGTGGTTCTAGCATCATTTAATGAAAAGTCTTTCCCAAAGTGACAGGTAACTTTGAACCTTTGTCCAAAGTCTCTTGCCTGTACATATACAGAGTTACTTCTGGGCTCTCTATTCTGTTTAGTTTATCTTATTTTCCCATCCTTCCTTCCTTCCTTCCTTCCTTCCTTCCTTCCTTCCTTCCTTCCTTCCTCCTTTTTTTTTTAACTTTTAAAGAACAGGTCTTGCTGTGTAGATAGGGCTGCTCTTGAATTCGCATGTTGATAAAGCTAGCCTTGAACTTGTAGCAATCCTCTTGTTTATACATACTAGGACTGCAAACACGCAAACCATCCCCAGTATTCATCTGTTTGTCTTGATACCAAAACCAAGTATGCAATCATTACAGTCTATGATAAGTCTTGAAATTAACTTTGTTCTTCTTCAAAGGCAGTTTGGCTAGCCTAGGTCCTCTTCATTTCTACCTGAGTTTTAGATAAGATTACCAATTTCTATATACTAAAAACAAGCAAACAAAGCCAGTAGGAATTGTAATTGTATTGAATCTATGGATCAATCTGGAGAAAAATAACTATACTGTAAATAAATAACTATAAAATAATAAAAATTTTATTGTGTACTTTTTCATATAACAATACTTCGGCAAATCTCTGGACTCATATCTCTTCTCTCAGACATTCCAATCAGCAGCATAAATGTCCAGGTCTCCTAGACCATTGGTTCCATTTCTTCAATGTCACATGGGTTTTGTCCCTCTCTGTGTAGCATCCTGGGTGCTCTTAAGGTAGTCATATGGGGCAATCTTAGGGCATACCTTGTTTATTTTCTATATCTTTGAAACCACTGCCCTCCATTGCCAGATGTTCAATGTCTTTAAAACTCTTGTTTCACACATTTTTTTCCCATTGTTAAAATTTTTTCGGGCAAGAAGGCAAATTGAATCCTGTTATTTCATATTCATTTTAGTGGACACAATATTTATTCTGTCAAATCTATTTCCAATGCTAGAAAATTCAAGTAGAAGTAGGACAAAAACAACGCTGCGACTGCGATCCTTGCTATGAATGCACAGAAGACTCTGGAAACATACAGGAGGATAATGGTATGACACTTGTTTAAGTCTTACCTAGATATCTCAGCCTGGGAGTTTTTTTCTCCATCAACAGTGAAAGGAGATGCTCCAGTTAGTAGCTCATACATTAGAACACCTAAACTCCACCAGTCAACTGCCTACAAAACAATAATAATTTCATTTTGTAGAATTAACAACTAAAATACATATTATAAATAGGATGACCAAAGTAAAGCTATATACTTAAAAATATTTTACAAAAACATTTTTCACAGCTTTCTTTGGAAGGAGTATTAAGTTAGTACATGTAAGAGACATCTCTAGAGGACAAATGTCTATACCCAGAACAGAAAGTGCTTTAATGATTTCCTAAATCAGTTAGTTTTATCACTGTTTATTTAAAAATTTTAACTTAAAAATGCTTTTCTAAAAGTTAAGATAGATGGAATATTAGGTTTAGTATCTGGGAGGAAAAAGTATCAACCACATTTTATAAAGTTCTTTAAACTCAAAGGCAAAAACATAAGAATCTCACACGAGGGTATTAATTTTAAAACAGCCCCCTAAAATTAATTTCTAAAAATCAATTTCTCTTACAGAATGTGTCTAAATATCCCCACCACGAGGAAGATTTAAAAATAATAGAAAATAAAATGTACCCTAAACTGGAAAACTATCTACAAATACAATTATCTTAACAATAAATATTCAAGAGAGAATATTTTTTGGCTAGTTATTTCATGGATCTTAGTCATGCAGAAATTTTAGATGTAATACAAAGTTTTCATATTTGAAAATTGTTTCCATTAAGCTCTCAACTGCTGAGCCATCTCTCCAAACCAGTTCCATTAAGCTTTATTGGATAACTTTTAAAATATAAGTTATAAATTCTGACTAAACTGCACAATAGCTTTAAATTATACCATGAAGCAAATTAAACTAGCCTTTCAACTCTTGGATTCACAGAAGCAGTTCCAATGGCAGGTGAGTCAGTGCTGTCAGAATGTCCGGCCCTGGGTGTGAAACTATGCTGTTTGGCTAACCCAGATGTGAACCTGATTCTAGCCGTGGGCCAGAAACTACTGCCATTCAAACTTGGAGAATGTGCTTGATAGACATGGGACTGGCCATCAGAAAGGAGACCAAGTATTTACCACAGACACTGGAATTGTATATGTGGTGTTTTGAAAGGAGAGGAAGGGGAGGAGAAAAAGGACAAACCAGCCAGAATTCATTTGTAGAATGTTATTAATAAATCAAAACTGATAGGAAAGTATCACCTTTTAATACAGGATAGAAAGATGACCTAGATTTTATAATGACTTAGACCTGACAGCTTCTTTATTATCTTCATGGGCACAGAAAGAGACAAAACAAAAAAACCTGAGCTCTTCAGAGGGCTAGGAAAACAGACTGTATTTTGAGTGTAGAATTTTCCTTTCAAGGTTGTGAAAAATGCTATTTCTGTTGGAAAATAGTCAACAAAGTCATCAATATCTTTGTGAAGTTAAAGGCAAACTGGGAATAAAATTGATTTTCTTTGTCAGTGGCCTTTTCACATCTCGTTTGAAGGACATATTAACCAAAGTTGGCAAACACAAAAACCATCCATTTTTGTATGTTTACTGAAGAACCTAACCATGCCAATAGAGCTGTGCAAAATCTTTCTCCATTATGCAGAGGGAAGCCATGTACATAGCTTAGGTATTCAGTCACACCTCTGTATTATACTTGGTCCAAATGTGTTTCATTTAACAGAAAAGGAATGGATCTTTTTTAATGGAGTCATGTTTGACATTTTGTTTAAGCTTACAGGCTCTTCTAATGGAAATAAAATTTAAAATTGTTTCAAGAGTAACTTTGAGGTCCCAGCCTTAACAAGAATGTCACAAAGCAAGAAACTTCATCAACAAAACATTAAAAGGAAAATCTAAAATGTCTTAAATTTTGTATTTTTTTCAATACAAAATGTTGAAACTCATAGTGTGTTCAAGTACACAAAACAGACAAATGAACTTAAGAAGTACCAGAAATATGACTCTGATTAAGAGTCTGTACTGGAAGTTATTAACTGGGATTCACTCTTATTGCACAATTTATGGAAAAACACAAATAAGTATCAAAAGCAGAACATACCTTGTCATGTCCCGAATCACCCCCTCTGACAATATCTGGTGCCATGTATTCAATAGTTCCACAAAAAGAATATGCTCTTTCGGTCTTGAACAAACAAACAAAAAGGGGTTGTGATTTCAAGCTAGCATGACAAGTAATAATACAAGTCAGTGGTTGAGTTACAGCAGCAATACCAGTGGTATAATCTGCTGACAGACCTCTGTCCTGGGACAGACTTCTGCCTACTCAGAAGGGTACTGGGTAAGCATCTGAGACAGATTTCTCATGCCTGAAACACTGATGGTTATCATCCACCAACCCACTCACACATTACCCATTTATTAATGACTCTTTTGCTGTTGTTCTTGGTGCATGCATATTTCAGTTACTAAATTCTTTAATCATTCTTTCTTAGGAATGGAAAGATTACCAGTAAAGTAACGTGAATTAACATTTTAGCAAATGATATGCAAAACTGGGAAAACATGGAGGAAGGTCAAAGGCCAATGAGGAAGTATGGGAACCAAAATAGGAAACTAAGGTGAAAACATCTTTTTACTCATCACTTTGTACAGGCTGGGCACTGCTAATGGCATTTTTAAATGATGAACAGAATTGTCTTGGGAAAAAATTGGTCTTTAATGACAGCTGTTGATTTTTTTTAAATAAAACTCTAAAAAATTCAAAAAGGCTAATTTAATATATCAGCCTCAAAATTAGTTTTTTAAAAAAGATCTATTTATTTACTATTTATACAGTATTCTTCCTGCATATATGCCTACACACCTGAAGAGGGCACTAGATCTCAGTATAGATGGTTATGAGACACTATGTGGTTGCTGGGAATTGAACTCAGGACCTTTGGAAGAGCAGACAGTGCTCTTAACCACTGAGCCATCTCTCCAGCCTCTCAAAATTAGTTTTAAAAACTTTAAAAAAAATTAAAATGACCAACAGATCACCCAATATAATAAAATAGAAAGCTAAAATTATCTACACTGAGTAAGAAAAAATTCTTCCATAAACACACACACACACACACACACACACACACACACACACACACTGCTATATTTAAAACATAACAGCACTTTCGTGGCATTAAAATATTTCATCAATACCAGGTGTGATGGTATACACACATCTTTAATCTCAGTACTCAGGAGGCAGAGGCTGGTGGAGCTCTTGAATTTGGGACAGCTTCATCTACCTAGTGAGTTCTAGGCCAGCTGGGGCTATAAAGTGAGACTCCATCTCAAAAAAGAAAAGGAAAATCAGAAAGCAATTTTTCTAGAACTTTGTTAGGGAAAGATCCTTATTTATACTTTATTCCTCCATCAGCGGGGTGTCAAGAAAAATGAGCACTTCTTTTCATTTCCCATTTTAACTGTGAGGGACGACTGCTCCTGCAGCTGTGACACAGAAGTGACAGCAGCTGCTTCACTGGTTCAAGATTAACACATTCACGGAGACAACGCTGTTAAGCACAATGAGCTAAAACTATTCATCATGATATACAGATACTTAAAAACATTAATACGGCTCATCATTTACTTCATTCATTTTAAATTCTATGAACACTGAAATATCCTTTTTCCTAGGAAATAAAAGGAACAATCCAGGTATGGGACAGCAGGGAACTCTTGTTGTTAGCTGGCAGACCTGTATTTTTGAATAGTCAGTGTAAATCATATAACACATACCACATCTCTCTGATTCATCATTTCATGACCAAATGCTGGAGGCAACTACCAAAAAGGTTAGCATTAAATAAAATGAATTTCTCCTAACTGTGTATACAAAAGGCAACAATTTTAAACATTTCATTACATAGTAAAATATGTATTAGGAAGTATTCATCAGATTATTTAAATGTTTAAAATGTTCTCTAAAAATTTTCCTTAAAACTAAATTGTTTTTAAGTTACTATAACAATTATCTATAGCTCTTTTTTTGACACAAAGCAAAAAATACTGCATATCCAACCCCCAGAAGTATAGGAAAAAGTAAGGAATCAATGATTACTTGATAATAACCTGATAATAACCATTTTAAAAAGTTGTTTTTACTTTTTTGTGTATGAGTCTTTGCCTATGAGTTCATGCCTGAAGCCTGTGGAGGCCAGGCCAGATGAGGGCAGTGGGCCTGGAACTGGAGTCACAAAGTGGCCACCCTGTGGGCACTGGCATCCAAACCAGGTGTTCTCAAGAGCAGCGAGTGCTCTGGGCCACAGACACATCTCTCTAGCTTCATCTGATATTATTTTTAAAGATGCCATCAAGACTTCTCTAAAACAGCAAATGCTAAGTTTTTTTTAATTTAAAAAATTTACTTATTTTATATATATGAATGCTCTATCTGCATGTATCCCTACATGCCAGAAGAGCGCATCAGATCTCATTATAGATGGTTGTGAGCCACCATGTGGTTGCTGGGAATTGAACTCAGGATCTCTGGAAAAGCAGCCAAGTGCTCTTAAACGCTGAGCCATCTCTCCAGCCCTGCTAAGTCAAGTTTTAGAGCACTTGAAAATATATTTTTCCATATTTAATAAGTAAAGATTTGATGAGTTTAAAGGTATTGCTTTCCTTAATTTTTGTTTAGAAAACTAGTTTTGCAGGCAAATAAAGTATAACTTTCATTTCCATTTATAGGTGGCTTTGCTTCACATATTTTAGTTATGATGATTTCCTTCCCAGTGTAAGACAATAAAAATCAAATTTTAATTTGATAAAAACCTCAAATTTGGGCTGGAAAGATGATTGAGCAAATAAGGGCAAGCCCACAAGCCTGATGACCTGAGTTTGACACCCAGATTCCTGTAGGTTGTCCTCCCATCTCTGTATGTGCACTGTGGCATATGTGTCCATACATGCATACACATACAATGAATAAATGTAGATAAATTTCAAATTGAAAGTCGTAAAAATCAGCACCTGTAACTTTGATTTTAAAAGTATATGAAATATCTGTATTGGTTAGTACCAGAAAAATGTGTCCTCACTAGTAGTCATGTTTTATTTTCCACATCATTTTACCACAAATAGAATTTATCACTTTCCCTTGTCCTTTTCTTCACTCTAGCTCCTTCCAGCTACCTATTCAAACCCCTCATGTGTCCTCACTCTAATGTATGTATGTATGTATGTATGTATGTATGTATGTAGGTAGGTAGGTAGGTAGGTAGGTACACACACACACACACACACACACACACAAAATACAACCTATTGAGCCTGTTTTTTGTTTACGTATGTATGGCTTCACACTGCACTGGACATACAATAAGGGGGCTCTACTACATTCTAAGTCATGTTTCATTTTATCTGACAGCAACAACTATATATCTCATTCTTTATTATCTTAATATCAACTTCTACATAATGCACACATCATCCAAAGACAACATGACAATGAGTTTTGAAACAGTAAAAACAACAGAAATCAGAACTTGAGAGAGATAGCTAAAGGCTGTTCCTAGAAACTCTTAGGTATTGTTTTAAAAACCAATTAGTAGTGATAACTATAAAATTCCAAGCTATGGAAAAGAACAAAATAAATTTACAGAGAGTAAAAGGAACAAAGGAACTAATTAAAGGAGTGGGAAACCTTGGGGACTGAGTGGAGCATTTCTTAGAGAAGATCAAGAGAAGGTAAACCCATGGCAAGACGATTGGGGCAATTTTAAATTGTTAATATTGATAATTGAAAAGAAAACATTATAGGAGTTTAACAAATATTTAAAAAGAGGGAAATTCTATGAACAAATAAAGGCCAAAGAATTTTAGACATAATGTAGTATTTGATATAAAATTACAGCAACTTAATCAAAACTGATTCAAAATTAATGTCAAGCAGAATGACCTTCTAAAATAGCTCTGTTCATGTCATGCTGCTCAGACTCTCAGCTATCGGTCTGTACATAGCCACCAGAGTACATACAATGCCTTTTTTGGCCAATATAATCCTTCTTCCATATGGTTACATGCCCTTAGCCCCAACTCTAACCATCCATATAACCCACACTGCCTCATTGTTTCACAAGCACTTGGGATAGTGTACAACTCCCTTACCTAGAAAACCTTCCCCAAGATATCTATGTGGACACTCTCACTTCCTTCCCATGTCACCTTCCTGGCAAAGCATCTCCAGGACAGCCTACTGTGCCCTGATCCTTCCATCTCTTTCTTGATGAATCTGATTACTTGCAACCTATTACCACATGGGTATTTGACTTACACACGTATTACTGTCTGCTGGCCATTTAGAGGGGAAACCTTTGATCTCCATACCTTGACTGAACAGTGTTCGGATCATTGCAGACAATGATTCAATAAGTCCTGAATATGCAGGAAAAAATGAAAAATGTTCATAACAGAAAATGTGAATGCTGAATTCATACAGTGTCATATTTTTGCCCTCTGACTTTCATATGCATATCCCACATCATGGACATGCACACATGTATATACACACAATGTGAAAAGAAATGCACTCCTATTATTTTGCTAAATGGACAAAGGAACAAAACAACCCCTAATGATATGTTACTACACCCATCAACGAATGCCTCACTCATCACTGAAGCTTCTTGCAGTAGATGACAAAACAGAGACCCACAATTTGTTAACATGCAGAGAATAGTTTAGAGTACTTGACCCTCTTGACCCTAAGTGTGATATCTCTACTACACCCTCTCTCAAGGCTCAAGGATCTCTGTGAAAAGGGGACAAAAAGAAAGTAAGAAAGCCAAGAGCATGGTGGCACATGCCTTTAGTTTCAGCTCTCAGGAGGCAGAAGCAAAAGAGATCTCTTATGAATTCAACAAGCATGATCTTTGTACAAAGCAAGCGTAAGGCCGGCCAGAGATACAAAGTGAGACCTTGTCTCAACATTCCCCACCCTGCCCCAAAAGATTGTAAGAGCCAGAGAGGGTGGGAGTGGATCATTTCAAGGAAACTGTATTTCTTTTTTCATATACAACAGGGCAGATGCACACTTGAACTCACAGTGATTGTGACAGTATGCATAAGACATGCCAAAGTTCAAGTTGACAAAATCCTAGCATGGAGGAAGGAGACGGGCACAAGGTCCTTCTATCAAGG